TCTCTCTCTATCTATCTATCTATCTATCTATCTATCTATCTATCTATCTTTATCTTTTTCTTTCTTTGTCTCCTTTTTTGTCTGTTTCTGTCGCTCCTCGCCCTTTCTTATGTTTTTTTTTTACTTTTTATTTGTCACTTTTTTAAATTCGTGAATTAAACTCAGACTTTGTAGTCTGTTTTAGGCTATTTTTTATTACCTTGTTATTTGTTTTTAATTTTTTTTTAGTCTGTCTCAGTTTATGCGCTGAATGGTCCGTGTAAGGTTGCCTACAACGTCCACACTGCAGGCGCTTAGCTAGTAATAATTGTAGTAAAATCAACATGTAAGCGAATGTATACAAACTATTTTTCTACCTCAATACTGCAACAAACGAGGGAGCACTGTTTTTTAGGGCAGAACAACACTATCAGGTTCATCCCCTTGACATCTTCGTTTCTCCTCCTTCTCATCTGGCTCGTCTGCTACTAGATTGCCATCTCCCCATCTTTTTTGTTGCGACTTCTCTTTTTTATTCATCTTCGTCCTTACGTTCTCTCCTTTCCTACATTCTTCTCCTTTGCACGGAGTATTCCTCCCTTCTCGTCGTGTCGTCCTTCCCCCGTTCCCTTTGTGTTCGTTCCCCCATGGCGCTGCTCCTGACGTGTGTCCGTCTCTCTCTCTCTCTCTCTCTCTCTCTCCCTCTCTCTCTCTCTCTCTCTCTCATTCACATACACATACACATACACATACACATACACATACAAACCTACATATACACACCCGCACACACGCACACACGCACACACTCACAAACACACAAACACACAAACACACAAACACACACAAACACACAGACAAACGAGTAAACGCATATGGCAGTGTATACTTTCATGTTATTGTGGTAGATTCATTCGATTTTGCTATCCTATCGATGAAAGTCGCGTGAATCGCGCGACGATTTCACACACGCACATACACACATACACAGTTGTTAATTTTTTCATGTTCTCACAACAAATTCATTCGATTTTGCTCATCCTATTGGTGGAAGGAGTTGAAGATCCGTCGTGACTCACACACATATACATACACACACACCCAGGCATGCATGTCACTAATGTAACAAATGTGGCAGTGAATATTTCCATATTCTAGCGGTAGATTTATATGATCTTGCTCATCCTATCGAGGAAAGTAGTGTGAACATAGCCGCAGGGTTCATGCACTGACACTCATTCACACACACAAACACGCACACACACACACACGTGCACGTACACACACACACCTATACAACCATACGCGTGCAATAATGTATATTTCTATATTTTAGTGGTGGATTCATTTTTTTTCTTTCGCTCAACCGATGGAAGTAACATGGAGCAAGCTGCGAGATTTGAGACATACTTGTCATACCCTTTTCTTTCTCCCGCTCCCTGGCCACCGTCAACGTAGCTGCTAATGGAGCTCGATGGTGCAACACGATCGTCGCGAGGTGTAGCATACCGAGACTACAACATATGGGGGATTCGATAGGCACAAGCACAGACGCCAACGAAGTCGGTGGATGGCGAGTCCACCTTCACCATGCCACAGGCGGATGCATCACACATTTGGCAAATCTCCACCCTTGCATGCAGTAAGCAGCGGGCGATCGGGCGCCAATCACCACAAAAGGATGAATGAAGGTGAACGCAACGATCCACAAGGCAGCGCCATGGCATAGGAAAGCCTTGACAGGCGCTACTACCGCTGACGACGCATGAGCTGTCATGAAAACTCTCCGAAAGAGACGACTAGAGGACCGAATGATGCTGCAAAATGTTTTGTCGACCACCAGAAAATGACGTGCCCGCCCCTAGCAAGCTAGGAACCATCCAAAGCATGAGCAGAGAGTCCCTCGTATCTCAAGTACAAGGTCCCAAAATCCACGCCCGGATCATCGCCATCATCGACTGCAAGGTAGGTGTGTATCCTCTCCTCTCCCTTCCTTTTCTTCTTCTTCTTCTTCTTGTTCTTTTTTTTTTTTTTTTTTTTTTTTTTTCTTCTTTTTCTTCTTTTTCTTCTTCTTCTTCCTTCCCCTCACACGCCTCCTTCTTCTGTGCAACCACCTTCCCTCCTTCGCGCATTCCTCTTCCCTATCGCCCGATAATTCGTCTTCTTCTTTGTGTGCGTTCGCTTCCTTCGCGCGTTCCCTTCCTCCAACCTGCGCACTCATCCTTTTCCTTGTGCTCGCACGTCATCCTTTCTCGGTGCACGTGCGTTATCTTTCGTGTCGACATATTCCTCTTCTTGCGCCACGTATTGAGCTCTGTCTCTTCTCCTTTCCTCGCTATTGAACACGTCATGCCCCTCGATCACATCGCCCTGCTTGTAGTCAGGTTTAACTGGGTAGAAATCGAGCTGGGCAGTCACCGTTGGTTGTGTATAGAATGAATTTGCCCCGATATCGGGGCAGTTCCATTAAGGTATTTTTGATAAGGTGAGCCGTGAAAACCAAAAGAAAAAGGAAAAGTTCAACACAAAATTACAAAGAATGAAAATAAGAGAATGAAAAAAATAAAATATAGAAGAAGAAAACTAACAAAATCTAACAATTAGCTGCCCTAACCTGCCAAGTGTCGGACCTGCCAAATATATATTTATTTATTGGTTGATTGATTTCATATAAGTCATTGCTTGATTGATTGATTTTTTGATTGATTAATTTTTTGATTGATTGATTTTTTGATTGATTGATTTTTTGATTGAGTGATTTCTTGATTGATTGATTTTTTGATTGATTGATTGATTGATCGATTGATTGATTGATTGGTGGGGGAGGGGAAGACCCCTCCCCCACCCCCCCGGCACACGCACAATCACACACACATAAAAAAAAAAAAAAAAAAAGTTTTAGGTATATTTGTTTTTGCTCGTCCTCTTATTGTTTCCTACTTATTGTCTCTACCCAAGCCCCTTATAGCAGTGCCAAACAGTCGATGGTTCCTTGTTTGGAGTGCCAACTGGACTCTTAGGGGGGCTGCTCGGTTCGGGATGTCTGTGTTGCCTGTCCATGATGACGGATGGTCGTTGGAGTGTCTCTCTAGCTCAACAGGTGATGGGAACGTGATATGAGTAGGTCATGTCCTGCTTTGCTCCGTGTTGGATGTGTGGACGTCCTCGTATGCGCTCCGTCGTTGCCTTGCTGCCTATCTCGCTTGCTTCGCATGTGGTTATTTGTAGGTTCATGTGTTTATTATCCGGTGTGGTCATGTTGTTGGTGTGGCTTTGCGCTTTGCTGCTCCGATGTTGTGCTGCTCATCTGTTGGTCGTGCCTTCTGTGTTTGCCAATTGTGTGCCCTGTAGGTTGCTTGCCTTGTTGCTGGTGCCTTGTGCTCCGCTCCACGGTTGTCGAGCTGCCGGGTCGCTCACCCTGTAGTCCCCTGCAATGTTGTTGCCTTGCTTGTGTTGTCTTGTGATTTACTACACAACTACCGCGTTGCATGCCCTGTCGTTCCTTGCAGTCGTTTTTGGTGTTGTGCAGCCTTGTTGCCTCAAATTTGTTGCCTGGGGCTTCACAGGGTTGCTGCTCGCTGCTATGTTCCGTTTGGGGACAATATGTCTTCAACAAGGGTCAAAGGGTTGATGACCCAAACCATCAAATACGAAGATTTCGCAGATTGTCGAGGGTTCAGCCTCTCAATGAGTCGGTGCAACTACTACGAAACAATCTTGTCATCATTAGTTTATTTTTCTCGGTCTTCCGCTTACTTGGGACTTGCTTTTTTTTTTTTTTTTTTTTTTTTAGTTTCCACGCCTTGGTGTGCTTGTGTGCCTGTTTCGTGTTCTTGCATGTTGTCTGCAATCCCGCCTCCCCCGTGCCCTCCAGCCTATGCCTTGATGTCCTATGTTATTCTTGTCTGCCTGGTCTTGGCATCCTTTTGAGACTTTGTCTGCTGGCATGCTTGCACATTGTCAACCCTCCCGCCTCCCCCATGCCCTCCGTTTGATACTTTGGAAAGTTGATCACGGATAACCACGCATGTACGAGGTAGCTCCAAAGAGTTAGTAGAGTGGCAACATACAATGTTAGTTTGATTGCTGCAGGGCGGGGTGTACCATAGGTTCCATGGGGTGCATGGCGAGTACGCCATGGGATATATTGGACGCACACACAAAAACACACACACGCGCGCACACACACACGTACAGACACACGGACACACACACACACAGACACACAGACACACGCACACACACACACACATACAAGGATGCGCGTTCCTTTTTTTTTTTTTTTGATCACTCACTCACTCAATCAATCAATCAGTATGTGTGTCCGTCAAAAAGGGAAAAATTCAAAAAAAATAATAAAATAAAAAACGGCTTTGTTTTTTTTCTTCTTCATTATTATTATTTTTAATTTTATTTTTTCTTTTATACTTGCATACGTCGGTAAAAAGAAGAATAAAAAAAGCATGTGCATCATTTTTATCCCACCAGCAATTAAAAAAAAAAAAAAGAACTTCCTTTTTTTTTTTTTTTTTTTTTTTTTTTTTTTTTTTTTTTTTTTTTTTTTTTTTTTTTTTTTTATTTCACAAAAAAAATCAAAATAAAAAAAAAAAAGTGTAGGGATTTTCAAACCCTATAACCCCATATATNTGTAGGGATTTTCAAACCCTATAACCCCATATATGTTTTTTTGTTTTTCGCCTAGTTTCCTAGGAGTTAAAAGTATCGAAGGTTTGAGGACTCACTCGACCGCACGCGATCGACCCCTGCGGTTAAGATCCCAATCTCATGCGGTCAGTGGCCCTGTTGTCATGACTGCGGGAGATACAATGCTTGCGACGCGTGAGAGCTTCGACTGAATGTTACAGTTTGCCTCTACATTGTGACTCTGTTTCTCTTCGAAGAGTTGTTGCTAGGATCACTGCAAATTGTTGTTGTTCAATGCTGCAGTAGTCCTACGGCAGTTGTCAGAATAGTGCTCATTGTAGTGAGGGTTACGACTGTTGCTTGGAGTTTAGGCAAACTGTTGTTGATCCTCCAGCAACTGTGGTCGCCCTCTCACTGAACCGTTGTTGTCTCTTTGGCAAAATTGACGTTGTAGATAACAAGTTGTTGTCGCTTCGGGTATAGGAAGTGACTATTTCACTTTGCTTCTGATGAAGGATCGTCACGTTCTCCGCAAGGGATCAATGCTACTTTTGAACTGGAGCTACGGCAAGGAGCAAGTGCAACCGCTAATTTTTTGACTTGCTACTTTTCGTAGGTCCATTGTTGGTGGTGTTAGGACTACTGATGTTTGTTCACAACAGACTGCTCATACTGGTAGTGGTGCCCGTACTCAATGGTTCATTGTTTCTTTTTCAGGCCCAGGTCGCTCTTTGGGAAACTATTGTTGAGGCACCCGAACACCTGTTGCTCGTCCTCCACTACTGCGGACTGTATTCCAACTAGGTTGATGTTGTTATTACGTCCAGAACCACCACCTTGGTTTGAGCCACAACAGTCAGCAGTGTGTGGTTCATTGGATGATGTTGGTAGCTTTGTGGAAGAAGTGACGTTAGATGTGAGCAGAGGAGAGATGGTTAATGGAAGACCAAAAATTCGGATTGTCATAGTGGAGATTGGGGTTACGTGTTTAACTGCGCACTTGCTGATGTGCAAAACTAACATTGGTTATCTTCCCGGGTCTATGTTGTTGCAAGCTAATCATCTCGCAGTCTCAAAATGACGATTCGTTCTTCGGGAACTATATTGTTGGTACCATCGTACTTCCATTTAAGTTGTGTTTCTTGTTGCGACCACTGGTCTACTATTGGACTGGTTTAGCTCATATTCGAGTAGAGCACATGGGGGTGTCCTATATTTGAACACAACCTTTCTAGGCTGTGTATCTGGTCTATTTAGAGGTTGAAGCGCTATGACTTAAAGGAGTGGTCAATCTTTTACAGAGATATACTGTTGTGACTCAAAGAACTGTCGGGAGGACATTGTTCTGCAATATGGCCGTGGTTTGACCATCTTCACAACATTTTGGTTGACATTGCGGGGCCCGAAGGTGACTGAAAAGTCCAAGGGCCTATCGCGCAAGTTGAGTTGACCTCTCGTTGTATCTCGAGAGTTTGAAACCCCTTCTTCGGTCTTTCTTTCTCTAAGTCTTATCCGGTTCAAAAAGGAAGGCGGTAGGCGAGATTGTAATCCATACTCCGTGTCAAAGCTTTTGTGGGAGATTTATCTCATCGATCGAGGGAGCTGTGCCGGAATCTATGATAGTTTCTGGAGGCAGAGAAATATGAGGCATAACTTCCTTTTGCTTTATGTGAGTCCACCATGCCCCTACCACCACATCTCTCTAAGTTTGTCTGAGAGATACACATGTGTTCCTTTATGATTTTTTTTTATTTTTTTTAACTTAATCATATTAAATGGAAGGAATGCATGTCTAAATTTCAGTTTCCATTTTATTTTGACTGAAATCAGACTAAGGGATGGATTCGAGAAGGTGATGGTGCATACATTT